GGGGGGGGGGGACCTATGGGTTTCTTCTCACGAGAATGTTTTTCGTGCATGAAATGGTCTTGAAATACATTTCTGATCCCCAGGGTAAGGATGGTTTAGAACTGGCCATCTGCAGCCCTCGTGAGTGAGATTAAAGGAAAGGGGAGGGATCGGACAGGGTTTCCTCAAGTAACTGGGAAGACAGACCACAGAGGACAGAGGCACAGAGAGGTTAAAGGGGCATGTGTGCGTGAACCTCACAAACATCCCACTAAATGAAAGCAGACACGAAAGGTCACCTGTCATAGGACTCCATTTATGTGAAGTATCCAGAGTAGGTAAATGCATAGAAAGTGGATTTGTGGTTGTTGGGAACCAGGGGGTAGAGGGGAGCAAGGGAGTGACGGGGCTTCCTTTTGGCGTGAAGAAAAATGTTTTGGAACCAGATAGAGTTGATGGTCACACAACATTGTGAAGGTACCAAATGCCATTGAATCATCCACTCTAAGATGGTTCCTTTAAGGGGCACCTGGGTAGTTCAGTTGATTGAGCATCTGACTTCAGCTCAGGTCACAATCTCACGGTTCATGGGTTCAAGCCTCACGTTGGGCTCTGGGTTGACAGCTCAGAGCCTGGAGCCTGCTTCAGATTGTGTCTCCCTCTCTCTCTGCCCCTCTCCCGCTTTCACTCTATGTCTCTCTCTCTCTCAAAAAGAAAGAAAGATTAAAAAAATTTTTTTTATTTTAAAATTTTTTTTTAATGTTTATTTCTGAGACAGAGACAGAGCATGAGCAGGGGAGGGGCAAAGAGAGAGGGAGACACAGAATCCGAAGCAGGCTCCGGGCTCTGAGCCATCAGCACAGAGCCTGAGGCAAGGCTCGAACCCACAGACCGTGAGATCATGACCTGAGCCGAAGTCGGTCGCTCAACCGACTGAACCACCCAGGCGACCCCCCCCCCAAAAATTTTTTTAATAAAATAAAAAAATAAATGAAATGGTTCATTTAAGTTACGTGAATTTTACCCCAGTTAACAAAAATGCGTGCGTGCCCCCAGTGGAAAATAGGACTAGCAGCAGAATTGAGCTGAGAGAGGTCAACACAAAAAGGAAAGGAGGAGCCCTATAATCCACCCTGGAAGTGGAATGTTCTGGGCAGGGAGAAAAGTAGGCACCTCCAGTTGTGTGCAAGCCGGGCCTTCATCAGCAGGGGGTGACATACGGGACAGCAAGGGTGGCGTGGGCTGGCAGCGACAGGGGAAAGCCCACGAGGCCAGGGGCCCGCGTGAGAACGAGAGAGCAGCAGGAAAGTGACCCTGTTAACACGGGCGAGGGCAGACAGGAGGCTGTTGCTAACGTACAAATCATCGATGCTAGAAATTTGATTTGGGCGAATGCGCTAACGAACAAAGGGTCACCGAGCCTGGCTGCTGCTGTTCACCCACCGAGAGAAAAAAGGCCCTCAGGACGTTCAGAAAACCCGCTTCCAGAAATAATCGCGCAGCCAGGAAAGCACTTTTCAGGGGCATTTGGATCTGGCTGAGAAGGCTTGCCTCTCCGTTCTGAGCGTGTGCCTCGTTTCTCCCTCGTCAGGTGCCCATCCCGGTCACCCCCACCCTGGATCCCCTGAGGATGCTGACGGACGAGGCCGACGTGGCAGCCTGGCAGAACCAGGGCCTCCCCGCAGACCGCATGTCCGTGGAGAACGCCACCATCGTGGTCACCTGTGAGCGCTGGCCGCTCGTGGTTGACCCGCAGCTACAAGGCATGAAATGGATCAAGAACAAATACGGCGAGAACCTCCGGGTCACCCGGATTGGTCAGAAGGGGTAGGTGGCTGAGCACATCACTTCTGACTTTCGCCACCTGTGCAGAGAGAAGACAGATGGAGTGAGCGGATCGTAAGACAACCCCAGCAGGTCGTCTCTACCCTCCCGGTCCCTCCGCGAGCCTTCCTGTGTTTCTCTTCCCATTTTAGGACCCCTCTCCATGGAAGATGCCTGGGTAGTTGTGTTTGTCATTAGGAATCGTGCGTGCCCGCCTCCTGACCCATCAGGGGCCCTTTCTCCCCGCCTTCCCACCCCCCTCCCATCGTGTGCACACTCATACCTCTCCTTGGACATGACCTTCCCATCACGCTCCACCATCAGGCAGTTCTGTGTTTTATAAAGTCTCCCTCACATTGAGCCAAAAAGTGCCTGTCTTAGCCCATCCTGGAGCCCACTTGTCTACCCGTTGTTTCTACCTCCGGCCCAGCGCCCCCCAGAACAAACCCAAACACGATGTCTCCCGAAGAATGACCGGATATAGCAGTTGGAAGCATGGTAGCCAAGTTAGCGGTGAGCCCCCGAGAGCCCTTTCACCTGCCTCGTACAGCTTCACACATTCCCGATGGGGCCATTACTACACGAAGGGACATGAGTGTCTCTGAGAATGTCTATCAGCACCCACCACACTTCACGACCCCAGACCTTGGCGTCTCCCACCCCATGGCTTCATTAACTGGGTTAGAACTTAGCTTTGTAGTCTCTGCTCTGGATTCTTGTCCGTGACGTTAGGATACGTGAGCGGGATAGGAGGGCGCCATGGGGAAGAGAAGGAGCGACAGAGATTATTTATTGCCAGTCCTGGTGTTAGGGACCTTATCTCAAATGCTTTCCTTAATCCGCACAACTGATAAGACTAGCACCACTGGTACCATTTCACATCTGAGGAAACTGAGGTTCACGGGAGCAAATCAATGTCCGCAAGAATATACCATTTTGAAAGCAGTGGACGTTTGTACGCCCATGTTCATAGCACGGTGCACAATATTCAAAATGTAGAAGCGACCTTGGGGCGCTTGGATGGCTCAGTTGGCTGAGCATCCCACTTTGGCTCAGGTCATGATCTCACGGTCTGTGAGTTCGAGCCCCGCGTCGGGCTCTGTGCTGACAGCTCAGAGCCTGGAGCCTGCTTCGGATTCTGTGTCTCCCCCTCTCTCTCTGCTCCTCCCCCACTCACGCTCTGTCTCTCAAAAATAAACATTAAAAAAAAAAGTAGAAGCCACCCAAGTATCCGTCGACACACGAACGGATGAACGAAACGTGTCGTATCCGTGCAGTGAAATATTAGCTTTAAAAAGGAAGGCAGTTCTGACACGAACCTTGAGGACATTACGCTGAGTGAAAAAAGCCACACACAAAAGGACCCAAAACATCTATGTTGTAGATCTGTCGGGTGCTTTTCTAGGTACCGTATGGTTCTACTTGTAGGAGGTCCCTCGAGTTATCAAATTCGCAAGAGGCAGAAAGCAAGATGGTGTTACCAAGGGCTGAGGGGAGGGGTGTGGGGAGTTGCTGGTTAAAGGGTACAGAGTTTCAGTTTTGCAAGGTGGAGAACTTCTGGAGACGGAAGGTGGTGACGGTAGCATGATAATGTGAACGTACTTGATGCGCCGAGCTGGGAAATGGAAATGGAAACATCCATAACTGCTTTCTTTTTTCCCCTCGCTAACTTAGAACTCAATCAAAATAGGATTGTTGCAATGATGTTACATGAAAGGATTCCTGTGCATAAAAACACACTTTGCTTTGGCAGAGCTTTGCTTGAAAACTTAATCAGAATTTAAAAGCGGCTGAGATGGGAGAGTTTGTGTTCCGTATATTTTAAGCACAATTTTAAAATAATTAAATTTAAGAAAAAAAAAAAACTGACGGAGGCAGCATTTGCTTCTCAGTTAGAAACCCAGCCCACAGCCACCAAGGTGAGGTGTGGTGGTCTGGTCACACGTCCCAGACGCGGTTGCCCAGAGGTCCAGATCAGCCGGTGTTGTTTAAATCGAACACGCAATGTTACAAAAATAGTTCAAGCAAATATTGACTGCCAGATGGATCCTTTCTTCTAGAGAGGATAAGAGGAGAAATGAATCCCAAGGTACGCCCGGGTGTATTTTAACCTGTGCCATCGATCAGACTAATGTCATCCTGGCCTCTCCCCGCACTTTGATCAAAATACTCCTTTCTAGGGGCGCCTGGGCGGCTCAGCTGGTTCAGTGCCCGACTCTTGCTTTCGGCTTGGCTCATGATCTCACAGTTCCGTGAGTTCGAGCCCCAAGTCAGCCTCTGTGCTGACAGTGCAGTGCCTGCTTGGGATTCTCTGTCTCTCCCTCTCTCTCTGCCTCTCCCCTATACGCGCTCTCTCTCTAAATAAAAACACAAATAAACATCAGAAAAATCCCTTTCTAATTGGCCAACAACTGCCTTTTAGATACAAGTGTTTTTCCTCTTTGCTCGTCCTATATCCCTAAGTACCAAAAACAGTGCCTGACACATAGTAGGGCTTCGGTAAACACGAGTGCAGTTAATTCTCTGTTTTCTGTCCAACCACTTTTCTGTTGGGTGCTTTTCTAGATCTGTTGTATATTATCTGAATGTAAATATTATATTACAATGTGTGTGAAGACTGTTGGGTATGGTCTCCCTTCATCACATGAATGGATATTTGCTCTGGTGGGTCATTTGTCTTTTAGTCTTATTTATGGGGTTTGACACATGACAGCTGTGGGGTTTTGTATGAGGGCTTTTTTTTTCAAGTTCATTTATTTCTTGAGAGCAAGAGAGAGAGAGAGAGAGTGAGCAGGGGAGGGGCAGAGAGAGAGAGGGAGAACCGAGAATCCCAAGCAGGCTCCACACTGTCAGTGCAGAGCCCGATGTGAGGCTCGAACTCACAAACTGTGAGATCGTGACCCGAGCCAAAACCAGGAATCAGACGCTTAGCCGGCTGAGCCACCCACGTGACCCTGAGGGCCTCCTTTGTGTCCAGATATGTCATCCATTTATTCTATATATCGTGATTAGAAAAGCCTTTTTCTCTCCAGAAATTATATAAATATTCACCTAGATTTTTTTAGGGCTTTTGTAGGTGTTTTCTTTTAACATTGAAATCCAATCACCTGAAATATATTTTAGGGTGCTATATAAGATACAGACCTAATTTTCACTTTCAGGTGGTTAGCCACTGTTCTAATACCATTTATTAAATTCTCCATCCTTTCCTTGATTAATTAGAGATGACATTTTACTCTGTATTAAATTATTTTATTACAGTCTTTATTCTTCTCCATTTATATAATACTATACCAGCCTTTAATTGCTCAGCTTTGTATTTAGCAACATTTATGGTGGCAACTCGCATTACAAAAGTCATGTATCATCACAATAAAAAGGGGGGGGGTGATGTTACAAAATAAAAGAAATTAAATACCCTATAATTCATCATTCAGGGGAAAACTCTAACTTTGGGGGATATGATACCCTTTCAGATTCTTCCTATATATCCAGTTTGTTCGAGTTATAGAAACTATTTTAGAATTTGCTTCTTCCTCTATATCTATATTGTTAAAGTTACATAAAATATTTTATTTTTTTAAATTTATTTTTGAGAGATAGAGGAAGGGAGGGAAGGAGAATATGAGTGGAGGAGGGGCAGTGAGAAAGGAGGTCAGAGGATCTGAAGCAGGCTCTGTGCTAAGAGCAGAAAACCCGATGTGGGGCTTGAACTCATGAACCATGAGATCATGACCTGAAGTCAGATGCTTAACTGACTTAGCCACCCAGATGCCCCTAAAATATTTTAGTATTAGCTAATATGAATACCTCCTCTTTTTCTTGGTGGCTTTTATATTTTTAATCATCCTTATTATTTTCTTTTAGGTTACCTTTAAGATTTATTTATGATCAATCTCTATAGTTTTATTGTTATCTATTGTTTGAATTGGAATTACATCAAACTTATCCATATATTTAGAGAAGATCAACCTTTTAACATGCTTATTAAACTCTACATAACACTGACACTTTTGAAATAACCTGGTTTAGGCAATTGTTAAATAAATTAAGGTATATAAGTAGAGCCTGACACCCAGTCATAGAAAATTATTTTAGAAGAATATTTAAGGGGTGCCTGCGTGGCTCAGCCAGTTGGATGTCTGACTCTTGATTTCGGTTCAGGTCAAGATCTCACTGTTGATGGGATCAAGCCCCACATCGGGCTCTGTGCTGGCAACACAGAGCCTACTTGGGATTCTCTCTCTCCTTCTCTCTCTGTCTCTCCCCTTGCTCATGCATGCTCTTTCTCTCAAAATAAATAAACACTTTTTTACATAATAATACAATTTTTAGGGTCACCTGGGTGGCTCATTGATGAAGCGTCCAACTTCAGCTCAGGTCATGATCTCACAGTTCATGAGTTCGAGCCCCGTGCCGGGCTCTGTGCTGACAGCTGAGATCCTGGAGCCTGCTTCCGATTCTGTGTCTCCCTGTCTCCCTGCCCCTCGCCTGCTCGCACTCTCTCTCTCAAATAAACGTTAAGAAAAACATTAACATAATAATAAAATTTTTCAAATATATATTTAATGAGATGGGGAAATGTTTCTGATACATTTTACGTACAGGAACCAAATGATAAATGTGCTGCGTGACATCCAATAACAAAGAGAGGTGCAAATGTAAGTTACATTATGCATGAATAATATATAGCAAAATACAAATAATAAACTCGAGAATATAATATATCCAAATATACATGTTAAACACCAAAATGTAAATGACCGATGGAAGGGTTACATTCATTTCCGTATTCTTTTTTGTATTTTACAACGTTTCCTTCTTTCTAAAACTTTATGAGATCGCATAAGTATCACTTTAAACAGAGAAGCACGTGACCACCGAAGTCATCCCAGGTAGCCGCACCTCCACGTTGGCCACCGAGGCCACGGTCGTCCTGTTACGTTTCCCGTGGATCCGCACTTTGCCACCAGCTCACACTGCCCGACTTTCTCCCCAGGTATCTCCAAACCATAGAGCGTGCCCTGGAAGCTGGAGATGTGGTGCTAATCGAAAACCTGGAAGAATCCGTTGACCCTGTCCTGGGTCCCCTGCTCGGGAGAGAAGTCATCAAGAAAGGACGGTACGACTTAGCCATGTTGTTGATCCTGTGTGAGGAACTGGATGGTAGCCCCAGGTAGAACCGTGAGCAGATCTGCTCTGCCCAGAACACGTTCTCCTTAACTCCCGTCAGGTGGCTCCGACGGGACCCAAGGGGAACACTCAGCTGCCCTTGACTCGTAGAGACAGTTTCCTGGAATCACTTAGCTCCCGTCCTGTCACGTCCTCCTCGACTTCCCCCCTACATGTTAGCGGCGCACTGTTTTGGAAGAACTTTAGAAGGAAAGCGGTCAAAACGCAGACTGACTCGTAAGCATGAGTCATTTTTACCCAAGCCAGACTTCTGGGTTCTGAGAACTCGGTTCTCTGTCCATCTGTTGAGTCCCGGTGGCCTTGGGGGCTGGTAAGTGGTCAGGGGCTCAGCAAGCGTCTGGCAGGAGGAGGGACACGAGAGAGGTAATTATTATGATGGGTTGCTTCATTCCAGAGCTTCACCCACTGCCCAGGCCATAAATACCCTTTCCATGTCCTTAGTATGTGCTCACTTACCAAATTAACCACCTTAGCAGTTACTCTCCATCAGCCAAGAAAGAAAAAGGGCCCCATCGCTGCTAGCCCAGAAGGCAACTTTCTGCAAACAGGGTGCCCTTTCCTGCAAACACTTCACTGCCATCTGCTGGGCACGTTTCATAACGTACTCACCTCCCTGGGCAACTCCCTGGATGCCTCTCCCTGTGGTGGCACATGCAAAATCCAACATGGTGGCCGTGGGAGAAAGTCTCCCACCCTCCACCCCCGTCCCAACCCACATTAAGGCAAATAAGAATCCTAGCGTTCAGGCTAGACCTGCTTGAGACGAATCCGAATGTGGCTATATTGTTTGCTATGATCTTACAAAAAAACAAACAAACAAAAACCATCTGGAATTCTGTCCCCAAACCAAATCTCACAGGAAGGCACCCCACCTTCACATGACCCTTCGTGTTCCAGATTCATCAAAATCGGAGACAAAGAATGTGAATACAACCCCAGCTTCCGGCTCATCCTTCACACATCAACTTTGGGTGACCAGGGAGGATGACTGGAGGACCAACTGACAGCGTGGTCAGCATGGAGAGGCCGGACCTGGAGCAGCTGAAGGTTCGTGGGGGATCCACCAAGGAAGGGAAGAAGAAAATGCTCTGTGACTGCTTGATTAGCAGCACAGAGCCTCTCTCTCTCTCTCTCTCTCTCTGCCTGCACTCACTCTCTCAAAATAAATAAATAAACTTAAAAAGAAAAGAAACAGAAGATGAACAGAGTAGCTGCGGCTGGGGCCCCCAAAAGGAAGGAAGATTGTTCTTTCCAGGGCTCGAAAAGCAATAATCCCATGCAGTACAAGGGCAAAGAAATGACAGCTGCCTGAACTCACGCGTTCCCCGCCCCCCCCCCCAGTAGCATCATAGTGCTTTAGGGTATGGAATCTAATGATCAGGAAGGGAAGACGAGGGGAGGTCAGCTTGGACCCCGGAGCCCCACTCTGACTTTAAAGAAGGCTCCAGCGATGAGCTTGTCTAAACTTGTCAGTTTCTGTTGATTTTTTTTTTTTCCAAGTAAAGAGCATCTACAGGAGAGCCATTCATTTGGGGCAGTAAAGAGGTAACAGAGGTGACCTTCCAGAGAATGAGAACTTGACCCTACCCTCTGACTAGTCAAACAAATAGTTTCCACTGAGGGAACACGCTATGTGCCAGCACTGTGTTTTCTCCTCTGAGAAGGGGCTGCGGCTAGCCAGCCAAGGTTATGGACACATTAAGAAGGTACCTCAGGGGCACCTGGGTGGCTCGGCCAGTTGAGCGTCTGACTTCGGCTTGGGTCATGACCTCGCGGTTCGTGAGTTCGAGCCCCGCATCGTGCTCGCTGCTGTTGGTGCAGAGCCTGCTTCAGATCCTCTGTTGCCCTCTCTCTCTCTGCCCCTCCCCTGCCTGTGCTCCCTCAAAAACAAGTAAAAACGTTAAAAAAGAAGACCCCGTAGCATTTATCTGTTCAGACCTACGCCAGGCATAGGGTGTGCTGGGCTCCTGCACCTGACTCCCCCTTGCTCTATGTTTGCAGTCAGATCTCACCAAGCAGCAGAACGGGTTCAAAATCACCCTGAAAACACTAGAAGACAACCTGCTTTCTCGCCTCTCTTCAGCATCTGGGAACTTCCTGGGGGACACGGCCTTAGTGGAGAACCTGGAGACCACCAAGCAGACGGCCGCGGAAGTCGAGAAGAAGGTAAAACTGCCTGGCAGCGTTCCCAGGTAGCGTTGGTAGGTTCCCACATTCCTTCCAGAAAGTCAAGGCGGGCAGGATTCCTGAGATCACCACCTCGCGCCGTGCATCAGGGAGTTCCCACCTTCTGGGCAAGGAGTTTGACCCCTCAACTCCACAGACATTTGGCGAGCGTGACCTCTGTGCCTGCTGAGAGTTTGCACACTTGCCCCGAGGCTAAGGAATCGCACCCCTGTGCGCCGTGAGCGCTGGCTGGCTCACTGTTGCTCCCTGAGAAAGCCTGCCAGCCGGCAAAAGTCTCGCAAGTCTGATTGCAATGCGAGCAGCTTCCGTGGCTGCTCAGGAAGGCCAGCTCTCAAAAACGGCTATCATCCCGGGAAACTCTGCGGTCTCTAGCTTCCTTCCTTTACCTCACATTGTCTGGAAGGCTTTTATTCCCCCCTGTGGGAGACGGGAGGACAGGATTTGAGGGCGTCCGAGCCCCTCGCCCTTCGCGGGGAGGCTGCTGAAACTATACAGGCTCTTTTTCATCCCCAGCCCTGCTCTTGGGTCAGAGGAGCAATGAAGATACTGGTTCTGAGCAGGATAAATGAGTCTGTAACAGGACACCTCTGAGGGAAGGCACTGTTGGTCAGATTAATTGGGATTTCTGCACATATCAAAGCCGTTGTTGTGGGTCGGGACAGGGTAGGAAAAATGAGAGGTGATGACGGGTGGTGTAGGTAGACCAGCTCATGCCCACACTGGGGTAACAGACAAATGAAGTTGGAATGGGAGCCTGAGAGCAGGAAGGTCCAGGTTCACATTGTCTCTGTGGCCGCTGCTTGGCCACCAGGTTCCACTCCTGGTTCTCTGTGGCCTCCATATCTCTAGAAAAGGGAGTGCAGAATTTGTATAGTAATTGTGTACAAGTCCCCCTGTCTTGGGTAGGAGAGATGGGGCCTGGGGGGACAGAACCCAACTCACACATGGTGATATATGGGTAAAGTTTTAGCCCAGGAAACATCTCAGATTCCAGGAATAAACACCTAGATAGGCATTGATGCCAATAACTGAAAGATGAGAGCAGAAATGGATCTGGGGATGAGGAGACATTATTAGTTTCGTTTGTGTTGCGTTGAGTTTGGAACGCCTTTGGGCCATTCACATAGGTCCCTTCCTTGAGTTTCCAGATAAATGACCTTGGTTGGTGCTAAGGTACTAAGAGTCATCAACAAGTAGTTGATCATTGAAACTGAGAGCAGAGGAAATCATGGGGGAGATGTGTGTGCACTGAGGAGACTGAAGAATAGAGCGTTGAGAAGAATCCTGAGACGTTTTAGGAGAAATACAGAATGTGTCGACTGTGGAATAGAGCAGACAGATGGGAAGAAAAGCAGGAAAATAAGGGATTGTGAAAGAAAGCATCTCAAGAGGGTGTGCCGGTGACGTTGAATGATGCTGATGACTCAAACAAAGTATGGCTGGGATGTGGCCACTGAACTTTGCAGAAAGGAGTCATCGGTGATCTTGGGGAGAATGGTTTCCGTGGTGTCGTGGAAGCAGAAGTCAGACTGAATTAGAATGAGAGCAAATGGGATCAGAAAAAGGGAAAGAGACTATAAGCTACCCTTGAAAGAAGCCAAACTGTGAAATGGCAGAGAGAGAAAGGATTGCGACTTAAAGGAGACATGGGTCCCGTGAGACGGGAAAGATTGGGTGCGGTAAGATCTTCACCGGAGGTGGGAGGATGCCTGGTTTGTAAAGTAAAAGCCGCAGTTGATAAGAGAAGGTGAATTTACAGGAAAAAGAAGGACCAATTAATGTAGCGGGGTACATGAGAAAGTCAGAGGAAATCTAATTCAGGTCACAGATGATGAGCTTGTCTTTGGAAAGATGGAGAGCTAGTTCCAAAGTGATAGGGGTTGGGGGCAAGCCTGAGTTTAGAAATGAGATCCATGGTCCATGGATTCATCCAGGCAACTGAGGTAAGGAGACAGAAACTTCAAGGAATCAGAGGAGAGGCAGAAATTAAGGAAATTCCTTCCTGATGGTCTCTCTATAGACGGTGAAACATGAGTCACATTCACCTGCGGAGAGTGAAGGAATGGTAGTGAGGCAGGCGGTTTGGGGAGAGGAGTGAAGGTTTACTGAAATAAGAGTAAAAGTTAATTCAGGAAATATAATTAGTGGACAGCATTAGGAACCCAGGTGAGCTTGAAAAGGATGGATCTGTGATAACACCATTCTGAGTAGCTGTTTTTGTTCAGTCCACCCCCTTCCGAAAAGCTTTGTCTTTAGCTACTGAATTTAACCGATTTACGTTTATTAACATTATCAATAGAGTGAATTTCTTTCTACTGCCTTCATTTGTGTTTTCTATTAAACACGCTTATTTGTTTTTTTCTCCCATCTTGATTTTTCATCATTCTCATCTTTATCCTTTCCTGATTTTAAAGTTAATTTACTTTGGGGATACCTGGGTGGTTCAGTCACTTCAGTAGAGATCTGACTCTTGATCTCGGCTCAGGTCATGATCTCACATTTCATGAGATTGAGCCCCATGTGGGGCTCTGCACTGTCCATATGGAGCCTGCTTGGGATTCTCTCTCACTATCTGACCCCCCCCCTTCATGTGCACATACTCTCTCTTGCTCGCGCTCTCTCTCTCTCTCAAACTTAAAAAGAAAGTTAATTTACTTTATTTTATTGATTAACCTTGTTTCATTTATATATGGAAATTATATTTCATTTTATATAACTTAACAATATATATACTGATTTAACAAAGTCTAATATAAAGGGATATATGGCCTCTCCCAAGACAATATAAGGACTTTAGAATACTTTGATCATCCTTTTCCATCTTCTGTTACTGTTTTATAATATTTTAGTTCCACCTTCTACTTCCTTTTCCTATGGTGGTCATTTTTTTTTAACATTTATTTCTTTTCTTTTCTTTTTTTAACATTTATTTTCAAGAGACAGAGAGAGACACAGTGTGAGTGGGGGAGGGACAGAGAGAGAGAGGGAGACACAGAATCTGAAGCAGGCTCCAGGCTTCAAGCCATCAGTGCAGAGCCCCATGCAGGGCTCGAACGCACGAACCACGAGATCATGACCTAAGCCGAAGTCGGACGCTCAACAGACAGAGCCCCCCAGGCGCCCCTATGGTGGTCATTTTTATAGCCCTTGTTATTTAGATTAACCACATATTTAAGAAATTCTCAGATCTCATTTCCCCCTTTTGATGTGATCTTCTAATTGAGGCAAATAATTATTTCTTCAAAGGTCTGTGGATAGTAAACTTTCTTTGACATTGACTGCTTCTTCTAAAAGCTCTGGTCTTTCACAGGATCGGAAAATTCTCAACCGTTATGCCTCCAAGTGTTGCTTCTCCCTCGTTCTCTCTGTCCTGTATCTCTGTTAAATGTATTTTGAGTCTTCTCTTTCTGTCTGCCAAGTCTCACAACCTCATACATATTTTTCATCTTTTTCTTTTCTCTCTGAGCTACCTTTGTTCCAATTTCCTCAGATCTGTCTTCTAGTTTTCATCTTCTCCTTCCAGCACTGGTCCGTTATTTAACCTGTGCACTGGGTTTTTCATTTAAATAACTGAATTACTTAAAAAAGTCCTAGTGAGTTCATTTTTTTTTTTCTAGGTAATAGCTGCTCCTCTTTCTAATGTCCCGATTTTATGTTTTTCTTCAGCTCTACTGCTTTTAAACCGAAATAGTTAATGGTGAGTTATAGATTGTTCAGGGATCTTCAGCTCTTGGGATGCTAATCCTCCTGGGAATTTGGGGGGAGTAGATTCTCCTTTTCCCCCTTGGTAACACTTCCTTCTGAAGTTCGTAATTGTTTATTGCAAGCTGATCTTTGAAAAGGATCGTTGTGGTTTGTTTTTTTTTTTCCTGTGAGAGTCTCAGAAATTCTCATTAGTTTCACTCATCTGGAGCATAAGGCAGGTCATACTGAGGCTTGTATTTAGTGGCCTCTTCTTTCAGACTCCCTCTCTGACGCTTGGGTCTGTTTCCTCATTTTTACCTGTGATAAGAAATTTTCTGATAATAAACTATTCCATTGAAAGAGATCCTCTTTCAACCTAGATGGATCTAGAGACTTGAATGCTAAGGGAAATGATCAGAGACAGATAAATACCCTATGATCGCACTCATATGTGGCGTTTTAAAAAATGAAACAAAAAAGAGAGACAAGCCAAGAAACAGCCTCTTGACTGTAGAGAACAGACTGACGGTCACCAGAGGGGAGGTGGGGGTGGGGGCAGTAGGTGATGGGGCTGACATCACACTTATCTTGATGAGCACCGGGTGATGTATGGAAGGGTTGAGT